ATAGTGTAGAATAATCATATCCCAAGGACCAGTGGTGGGTTTCAAAAAAAATTTGGAACCTCTTCTGTAGGTGTGGCCTGCTTTCCGGGTCCACTGGTGGAACTCTTCTAACCAGTTTGGTAGATTTGACGAACCGGTTCTACCGAATAGGTGCGTGCTGGTAGGAACCCACCTCTGGTTCAAAATTACAACACCACCCTGAAAAGTACCTGAAGTTATGAATGTTGTTGCATTACGGTAGTTGTTCATCCTTATGACTGACTGCAGAGACACTGCAATGTCACCCCTGCCTATTCCCCCTTCCTGCTATGCTAGGCCAGTGATGCTCCATCGAAGTTTTAGGAACACTTAGCCACCACCTCCCCTCTAATTTCAATTTCCCATTCACTCTAACAATAAGGAGTTACCCCGAGAAGTTGAGAAAAGGGATGATTGTTCTCAGTAGGTCTTTTGCATGAAAGTTAAGCCGTATGGAACATATTGCTTTTCTAATACATGGATATATTGTTAAGATTGTAATATAATTTCTAAGATTTTGATAACTTTCAAATCAATTTTAAATAAAAATAAGGCAATATTTTGTTTTAGGGAAGCAGGTCAAAGATGGAAAGAAGCCAGAACCCTGTAAACCTATTCTTAAAGTGGAATACAAAACAACTAGAATTGGGTAAGAATTGAACCACAGTTATTTAATGATGACTTGAATACTTACTGTGTCTAAAGATGGAATGTATGATCTAGATTTGTCCTGGACAGAGTGCCTTTGATGGGATGCTCCATCAGAAGAGAGAAAGCAACTTCAGTGGATTCCATATTTTTTTCTGTGTATTGCTGCAACAATCCTCCATCCCTCCAAATCTAGGAGGCCTCAGAGGAAAGGCAAATAGATAAAAGTTAGATCTCCCTTACGGCATCCAAAATGTTCCCTGAGCTGAAGCTTTCCTATAAATGGAAGAACTCTTCCCCGCCCCCTCTGAATCCAGCCTACATTTTGCAATTTAAGATGTTTTAAAAATATTTAATAAGCATTCAAAATGCAGAAATAACTGTTGGTATTCATGAGGTCTTCAGTTTGATACAGTAAAAAGATATCAAAATTTATACACTGAAAATACTGTATCTATAAATATAACATCATAAAAATTGTTACATCTCTGGAAAGATTTTATTGAACTTTATATTATATCCCCAAATGTGACATTCCAAATTTATTTATGTATGGAAATTACAGAAAAAGAGCAAATTCCATTTCATGGATGGAAATATATTAATGGGATAGTTGATAGAACCAATCATTTTAATAAGTTTAGTACATTTTATGTGGAGTCCCTCTTTGATAAAGGAGTGACTTTGCTCAATCCTTGACCGAGATATGAAGCCCAGTTTATTTGAGTTTGGTGGAATGTGCTATGTTTGGGCACTAGGTTTTCCGTTCCCTTTTCCTTTTATTACTATTGCTTTTATTGTTTTATTATTGCTTGTGAGTTACCCAGGGTTATGTTACATATGTTTAAGGCAGCTGTACAAAACTTTTAAATGAATACATAAATACATAACATTCTTCAAGTGCTCCAATTGTAGCTTGAAAGAGATACCTTTTTAAAAAAAGTATCCATTAATTGTTCATAACTCAGTACACTGTCAATTTTTCCATATTTTATTGTTTTTGTTTTAATATGGTCCAGTTCAGTCCATATAGTAAGCCTTATATTGTTTTATAATGAGGCAGAGGCACATAGAGTTCTTAATATATTATTCCACTAAATCCAACACTTCCATGTTTTTAATGTTATATTTCATTGTCTTAACTATTTATTTGTCTTGATTTTCAGAGAGCCTTTTATCATCTTGTCAGGTGGCTTATCATATGACACTGTCGGACGAAGACCCTGTTTAACTGTTATGCACGGAAAGAGCACTGCTGTTCTAGAAATGGATTACTCTATAGTAGATTTTCTAACTCTGTGTGAAACTCCATACTCTAATGGTGGGTTTTTTATTTTTATTTTCCTTTGTTCTATAATTCCAGCATTCCTTCATTACATTCTTTATTAACAGCATTCTCCACTCAACATCCAGCAGGAATGTTGGAACTAAACTCCCAGAACCATCACATTCCAATCATGTTAGCTTGCAATTCTAAAAGTTCCAACATTTCTAAAAACAACTAGATTATGTAAAATAGAATATCCAGTTCAGATTTATTTTTATTTATGTAATAAATTTGTTTCCCACCCATTTCACAGCAAGGTGACTCTGGGCGGCTTATAACATAAACTCTGGGCGACTTACAACATCAGATTTATAACCTGATTGGCTATGAAATTGTATAGATATTTACCCAATTTTCCCCTTATGAAAATATCGTCTCCCATCAGCCTACTGTGCAATAATCTATTGCCATAGTGATAATATTGAAAATAGATAAAAGTGTATTGGAGAAAATCATATATGAATTTTAATTGTCTGCAACTGTTTGCAAAGTGAGCCAATTTTTAAGTATGATTTTTGTAATTAAAATGGTGGAAGAAATCCATATAACAGAAGGAAAGTTCTTATACAAATTTTTAAAAATAGTAAATGAATAGATTAAAAAAATAAAAGAATGTTTTAAGTGCATGACAAAATAGTCACTAGAAGTATATGTATGGATAGTATCATACATAGATTTAATTTGATAATTTCTGTCCTGTTAGAACAGTGGGACAGTTATAATAATTAGATTAATTAGATTAACACTTATACAGAGATTTTTAATTACAATAACATCTGATAAAGAGATTTTTTGAAAAGGGCAGTGCGTTAATTGATACAAAGTTAAGATTACACATTGTAAGCATCTGGGTAATAATCCACATTCACTGTCATTTTTAATTTCTATAGGTTTCTGATAATATACATAAATGTTTTTCCAATCCTCTTATGAAAATCATACTATTGTCCAGACATTTAGGATTGTAATTTCAATTATTTCTAATTAATATGACAATGCTGTTTTAGAGTAATGGAAGCTCTTGTTCAGTTTATTTGATAACTGTTGAATAGATATTAGGTGTAGGATCTCTGTTATTTCTAATTCTTGCATTGATAATATGGAATGTAATTGGAATGGAGAAATGTGTTTGGGAAATTGCTAAGAAGACCTTGCAGAGAAATGGGAGAGATATTTCGAATGTCATAATTGAATGGCTTGGAAAATACGATCCAGATTCTTAAAATTAAAAATAGACGTTTAATTTCAGAATGGATCCAAGGAAATAGGGAGAGATGTGTTGGAATGAAAACTTTTGGAATACTGAGAAATTTCCAGTAAACTCTTTCATAACTTTTCTTAGTTGCACTAGTTGCCCTCTCTGCCAGCTTCAATGATTTTTGCAATTTTCTATCGGAATTGCTTCGTTTAGTGTGTGGGATTATCAGGCAGAAAAACAGAGGGACTTACCATTTGGCCAAGAGGAGAATACAAGTTATATTGTGACTTGCATTCTTCTTATATTCTTATCAGAATATTGTGACTCACATTCCTCTTTTTTCCTTATCAGTGAAAGCTTTTAATCCTTTCTGCCAAAGATAGGCAAAGCCATCAGTTTTGTTTGAGGTTTTGAGGAGTTCATTTTTTCTTGGTTTTGTTAGATGTATATTTAGCTGGATTTTTATATTAGTAGTTATGCTCATTTTGACTAGGTTCAATTGTTCTTAATTGTTTTATTAATGTTACACTGTTTAGGGATTTTTTTTTACTGACAATTAGTAATAAAGTTTTGCAAAAGTGATACAAAATGCATGAGTAAAATACTAAACATGAATTATTCTGACATTTTCTGACAAATTAAAATAATCTCTTGTATGTCAATGCTTTATACCAGTGGTGTAAAGACATCACTGGTGTCTTATTACAGTCTTTGTATGAAATCAACAGTGGCTAAATATTTACCAAATGTGAATTATAAAGTGGCCTTCTTTGAATATTTGTATCTCTTTCTTAGATTTCCAAGAGCCATACGCTGTGGTTGTTCTCCTAGAAAAAGATTTAGTAGTTATTGACCTTGCACAAAATGGGTAAGATATAAAAATGTAATATGGAGATACCTATTTGTTTGCTTATTTTCTTATTCATGTTTAAAAATATACTGTTTTTATAGTGGTCAATTTTTTTATGAATTAGGTTTATTGGACATCTTGAAGAAACAGATTTTAATGAAGTTTTGGCATAATTAAGTTTAAATGAACTTAAATTTAGTTAACATATTTATATAGTATCTATATATGACATGCTATGGACATTTTAACTTTATCTAAATATAACTTTCTGATCTTAAAATTTGCATTTATTCACACACATGGAAAGTACCACTGCAGAGTTCAAGAACAGTCTTGAGGATCTTTCTCCTCGTTGAGCCTTCTTAGAAGTCTGTAAGCTTACATTTTAATATATTTCATTAACTGAAATTTTCCACAGTAAAATCTTGTATCACCTTTCTGTGATGCACTTTTAATAGATTTCTTGTATTCCCATTTTTCATACACATACTTTCTTACAAATGCCAAATCCTTGGCATAAGGTACAATATATGTATATTGTATGCCTATACGTACACCAGAAAATACATAAGAATACAGCACACATGCATATGAATCAAACTACTATAAATCAATATATAACACTAGTAATGGTCAGTAATTATGCTTCAAGTGTTCTTCAAGTGCTACATTTTTTTCTATTGTATTCGTTTCTTTTTCTCTTTTAATATTTTTATCATTGAAAGTATTTTGAAGAGTATCAAATTTAATTTGTAAAAAATAACAATCCTTGTCTTTTCTGCACCTCATGAAAGGTATCCTATATTTGAGAATCCATATCCCTTGAATATACATGAATCTCCAGTTACTTGTTGTGAATATTTTGCTGATTGCTCTGTAGACCTTATTCCAGCACTTTATTCAGTGGGTGCACGGCAAAAGCGTCAAGGCTATAGTAAAAAGGTAAAAAAAAGTCTTAACATAATATTCTGCAGTACTGTTATTTATATATTGGTGGGCAATTATTATTATTATTTAATTAATTATTTTTTAATAGGAATGGCCTATCAATGGTGGAAATTGGGGTTTGGTCACACAGAGTTATTCAGAGATTATCATTACTGGGTGAGTAATAAAATAGTAGATGCAGAATATCACTACATATTGAAAATCTTAGTCATAATGTATGTGTTACGTTTATTTCTTTTAATAGATTCCATTGATCATTCTAGTGCATAAAAATAGAATTAAGAACAAAGCAGATAGGATTGACTTCTTGTGTAATTTAAAAATAATCTTGTTTGAATTCATTCAAGTTTATTCTCTAGTAAGTGTTAAGATTGTAGCCTTGATTTGCCCTACTCTACAGAGCAAAAAGGCTCCTAACCTATTAATGAGATTAAAGACAACTAATCCTTCTAGATTCTGAGATGGTATAAAAAGAGAGGATTCTTTTTGCACTTTAAGAAAGTTAAATCTCAATATTCAACAACTACTGTATATTTCACGGGGATAAAAAAATATATCCAGACTTAGGTTGGAAGAAAAGAAAAAGGAAAGTCTAATTTCTTTTCAGATTACAAAGATACTTGTAATATTGCATCTAAGCAATAATTTGCTTATATTGTTGAACTAATAACATGTCGATGCTAAGAAATCAGTAACTATATAAAGCTGTACAATTGTTATATAAATTCAGCATAATTAAGTAAATCTCATTACTGTTCCATTTCTAAAAATACTTTAAAAATATTTCATATTTTAATAGGCATGCAGATGGATCAGTCAAGTTTTGGGATGCTTCTGCAAGTGAGTGATTTGCCACTTTCAATAAAGTTCTTACTCCCATACACACCCAAAAAACTGTTATAATAACAGCATAATACTAATGACATAGTAGTGACATTACTTGTCTCATTTTTTCTTTATTTGTTTGAATGTTAAGTATTAATATCAGTCTTGCTTTGATCCAATTGAATGAATGTACTTTAAATTAGTTGTGACAAAATTGTCTATTTTTAATAGGACAATTTTTAAAAACTCAACAATTTTTGATTATGCATTTTATCTTAGTGCCATATCACAATTAAAAATTATTTTAATATATAAAATTAAGTAGTCATGTTGTTGAAAATCCGTTATTTTTTCTTTAAAGGTATTAGAGATTGTAAAGTGTAATATCTTTCTCACAATAAATTCAACTCAGACACAGCTCTTTTTGTGCATTGATGTTTGATGTCAGCCAATGTTAATGAAACTTAAACACCCTGCAATATAACCTTTATAGGAATTGCATTGTTTGAATGATATTCCTATTCCCTGTTTCAGAATTCCATCCCTTGAATAATAGTCCTATTTCTAAATGGAGAAATAGTATCCTCAAAATGATTTCATTCAAACATATAACCAAGATTATTTCTTAATTTATTCTAGTAACTTTGCAAGTACTATACAAATTAAAAACAGCTAAAGTATTTGAAAAAACTCGAAATAAGGAAGATAGACCAAGCACTGACATAGTAGATGAAGATCCATATGCCATTCAGATCATCTCATGGTGTCCAGAAAGCAGGATGCTGTGCATAGCAGGAGTTTCTGCACATGTCATTGTTTACAGATTCAGCAAACAAGAAATAACAACAGAAGTTATTCCGGTAATAGAATTCACTTAAATTCATTTCTACTTAAGTGGCTCACTTAACATTCATATCTATTGTTATCAAGATCCGTATATTTCAACAGTGAAAATATAGTAACAATGCCAACTTGCATATTTTTTGTTTCATCAGTTTTTTAGATTTAAGTTTATTAAAGAGTCAATTATGTTTGTGGTTACTTCCCTAGGCCTGGGAAATAAGTGGCCTTATTCATTACAAATACAAGTACAATTGAAACAAATTTGATAAATTTAGCAATCAAATCATGCCTGTTGTAAGGTAAAAAAAAATGTTTCTTTTACTTTACAGTTCAGTCACAGGAAATCATTAAGCCCTATCCTAACCATTTTCCCTCTTGTGCTCTCTGGCATCCCTATGTACCTGTGGGACAGAAAGTTTAGTACAAGTAGTCCTTGGTTAACAATCACTCATTCAGCAACTGTTCAAAATTAGGATGGTGCTGAGCAAATGGTACTTACAATCTGTCTGTAAAGTTCCGGCTGTCCCAGCATTGCTGTGATCATGTGATTATAATCTGGCCACTTGGCAACCAGCTCACATTTATGATGGTTGCAGCATCCCATAGTCACATGATTGTCATTTGTGACCTTCCTTCTAGTTTACTATAATCAGAGTCAATGGGAATGTCAGTAGGAAAGGATGTAAGTAGCTCCTATAAGTCATTCCCACTCCTGTTACTTTCCTACACATCCTCCCACCTTCCGCACAGATGACCGAACTGATTCCAGGATACAGCATCCATTTGACCATCTTCCTCTACTCATCGCACTTTCAGACATGCTTTTACCAGGCCGTTGCAGTCATCTGTGCACTCTTCCACACTCTGGAGTACTTACCAACTGCCCAGCTGCACTTGTATCACAGCAGCCACAGCCAGCTTGCTTGTGACTTGCAACTTCCCGCCAGCTTCCCTATTGATGTTGCTTGCTGAAAGTCACAAGGAGGTCCTCAGTAAATGAATTGCAATCCTCGATTAGTGACGGCAACAGAGACTGCCAGAATTTCTGTCACTAAGTGCATGAAATTGCACTTTATGACAACATTGCTTAGCAATGCAAATTCTTGTCCTAATTATCTATAGCTGCTTTCAATTGAGAAATGTTATAGTTTTGTCAGTTCATTTTTATCATATCCAGGAAAATGGTTTATTTTATTATTGATTGTTTGATTAGGTTTATGTAGTTGATGGAGTCTACAGTAGGATCTCAGTATAAGACGATATAGTATAAAAATCTGATTGGCTGTCATTTATTCTAGATAGAAATGCTTATGGAGTCTCTTAGGTGTTGAATGACAAGAGTAGAAATACAATAGCAATAGCAATAGCAGTTAGACTTATATACCGCTTCATAGGGCTTTCAGTTTACAGAGTCAGCATATTGCCCCCAACAATCTGGGTCCTCATTTTACCCACCTCGGAAGGATGGAAGACTGAGTCAACCTTGAGCCGGTGAGATTTGAACAGCCGAACTGCAGAACTGCAGTCAGCTGAAGTAGCCTGCAGTGCTGCACTCTAACCACTGTGCCACCTCGGGTCTCAATGAGTTTTTTAACCAGAGTAGGATGCTGAGCTAGTTCTGAGTGTCTAGCAGTAATATTTGATTATTGCCTCAGGCTTGGGAACATGATATAAGAGTTCCAGTGATATGGAGTGCAGAAATTAGCTTAATTGACAAAGATGAGCCAAAATCTTCTCTGTTATTTCAGAGTCATCTATTCTGGTTTCTTGTAAGCTTTTGGTAGCAGCTCAAAGTACTGGTGTTAATATTTAATGACATCACCTAGAAGCATTTGCCCTATATGTAGCTCTCTAGTACTCAAATTTAAAAGTAGATTCTTTAATGTCTGTCTTTATGGCTGTTAGAGCCATGGGTGACATCTTCATAAAATACCTGCTTTGTTTTTGTAATAGTTTGATGGATGCATTTCAGCTTCAGGATATTGACAAGATCAGTTATTTGCCTTTAAGAGAATGCGTCACTAATTTTAAATTCTTGTTATCAAGTTTGTGCTTTTTCATTCTCATTCACAGATGCTTGAAATACGGCTATTGTATGAAATAAATTATATAGAATCTCCTGATCCTGAGCAAATGCCACCATTGCCTACTCCAGGCACAGGTTCCAATCCTCAATCCATCATCCCCCAGTCTCATCCCTCCACTAGCAGTAGCTCTTCTGATGGACTTCGTGATAATGTCCCATGTTTAAAGTAAGTATAATAGTGTGTTCTAAATAATGGGAATTGCTTATCTTGAGTGCTTAAGCTGATGGAAATACTTCAATGTATTTTGTCACATATTGTTTAAGTTAGAATATTAAAATATAATCAGCTTCAGAATCTGAACAAACAAGGACTACTGGTGTAGAATTATCACTTTTTTTTTATGCTGGGTGACTTCATCTTCCCTGCTTTAGGGGCTGACTCTGGCAAGGCTTTGGAATTCCTCGCCTCCACAATCATACTTCAGGTCATCTATGGTCTGACATGTGTAGAAGGTTCAGATTTCATATTTGCCTTTTAGTTGTTATAGCAACTAAAAGGGATTTGATACCCCATTGTTATGGTCAGACCATATTGTTACTTAGTTACACAGAGTCACCTCTATAGGATGACAAGATTATTTGAATGATTCATCCCAGGCACCTAATGGATTCTACTGATTTCTGAGGAAAGTGTCAACAGAGACCACTCCTTCCTGAATGCTGTAACCAATTTGCACAATACTTTGTCCACAAAATTACTCACCATATTCTTGCATCTCCAAAGCCAGTATCTGTGGTAATAACTGGGATATTATTTTGTTCTCTGGAATTCCTTTTGGACTGTTTGTTCTGAGGAAGTGGACAGAGTGCTATCTCGACTATCCATTGTTACACATGGTTGGGCATTCTGGCTATTGTGAGGGCTGGTTAAAGGAACAACCATGTGGATCCATGAGCCTGTTAGTATCCCCTTACATTTGGGTCAGGGCCTGGCTGCCTAGAAGAAGGCAATAAACACTACCCTTGCTAAAAACAATGATTCTCACATTCTCTATCCCATAGTCTTGCATAAATATTGTGTGACTTCCAATGTTCAATTTCTCATAGACTGAGACAGCATTCAATTCCCTTTGCCATTTTAGACCTCTCGGCAACTTTTAATATTATTGATCATAGTATCTGACTAGATGACCTCTGAGCCTTGTGAAAGTTTTTGTTTTCATTCTTTTAATGTTTTATTGCAACATCTAAGAGTAAGATTGAGGTGGGATAAAAACTGAATAAATACAAGAATAGATAAAAATTCAAAAAGAGAGCATTTTTATGAATTAAATGTTTACAGTTGTATGCTTTGCTCTAAATGTTTGCTTGTGGAGGTTTAAAGGATCTTCAAATCAATGAGCTATTTCTAGTAAATATTTAACAGCTGCTCTAGCGTGCAGAAATATGTAAAACCAATAATGAAATATATATCTTTTGAAAAAGACTTTCCCTAGGCTAAGTATTAATGCACTTTTCATTTATGTTACAGAGTTAAAAATTCTCCCCTTAAACAGTCTCCAGGATACCAGACAGAGCTAGTTATCCAGTTAGTATGGGTGAGTGGTGAACCTCCTCAGCAAATAACAAGTCTTGCAATCAACTCTGCCTATGGATTGTAAGTAAACTGGTTTTACATTTTATCTCACTCAGATACTATATTAGAAAATGAACTCAATATTTTAACTCACAAAAATAGTAAATGAACTCAGTATTTTTTTATTCAGGTACTTTAAGGTTATATACAGCTGTATTAATATACTGGTATTTATTGCAGTGGTGCTGTAGACTTAGTCTAGAGTTCCATTAATTATAATAACAATCTATTGCATTTCTATATAAATAGTGGGAGAAATAACTATTGATGTAAGGGCTGTATGACATTTTAAATATAAATTTTTTAAAAAGTATGATTGATGTAAGTTGAAGAGAAAAGTGTAACTGTACTGGGAAGGGAAAGATAAAGAAAGGGAACAAAATTGAATGGTAATAAGATGAGGGGAACATGTACAGGAAAGGAAAGGCCTGTTTAAGTATTGGAGAAAGGGTTAAAAATCACTAGATAAGCAATCCTAACTGCTGGCTAATCGTCAAAGAAATTGTTAATTTCAGCAGAAATGCCCAAGTTATTTGCATCTTTGTACGTTGCTATCTATTAAATATTCTCTTTTTAAAATCAGAGAATATAAGAAGCCCCTCAATTCACAAGTACCGTAATTATTGGGGGTAAAACGTCATTCTTTTGTGTATTATGAATAGTATTCATTCATATTGCCCAACTAGATTGATGATGTATCTGTTCATTTATATGGATGATTAATTTTGTGAAACTGTACATGCCCAGAAAATGTCAACCATTTTATATTCCCATGGCATAGCATAATAATAATGTATTAATATTTTGTCTGTATTTTTAAAGTTATTGCTGTTTAATAAATTAAGCAGCCAATGTGGAACTTAATATTAAAGAATATTTTATTTTAAAATTATGTATAAAATTTATATCTATGCATACACATAATCTTTTTATAAAATAATGAAAAGTTGTTGTCAAAATCTATGTCAAAAAACTATGGCAGTTATCAAATATTGGTTTGATATGTTGCTATGTTTTAGTCAAAAAGTAGAATGTCTGAAAAACTGATAATAATGAAACTGTATATTCTGGAGCTCTAGCTAAAGGAAAATGTTTGCAAAAATTAAAATTTTGATGAGAGAGTAAGAGAATAGGAATAATAAGAGCAGGAAACCTTGAGGAAGAGGCTTTGAAGTATTCAGATACTAAGAATAAATCCATGTTACTATTATTGAAGTTATTTTTCAGTTACTTTTTTAGTCTGAATGTGCATATTGGAAAATTAAGTTATCAGTAGAAAACATTCATCTGAAATATGTTTTTTTTCCAATAACTCTTTTCCAGAGTAGTTTTTGGTAATTGTAATGGTATTGCAATGGTTGATTACATTCAAAAGACCATGCTTTTAAACCTTGGCACTATTGAATTGTATGGCTCTAATGATCCTTATCGGAGGGAACCTCGATCTCCACGTAAAAGTAGACAACCATCTGGAGGTAAGGGGCTAATAAAAATGTATACTTTGCTTTTTAGAAGTGTGGATTACTAGCTTTTTCTTTGAAAATGACAAGTAATCAAAGCCAGATAGTAGCTAGGTAGTTAGTAGGATTTTCTTCTAGAAAACCTCCCTTCTGGTTATCATGGACAAACTTACTCATACTAAATTGTTCAGATACTAACACCTTCAATTAAACAGTATCAGTTTATCATATTCTGCTCATTATTTTCAAATTCTCCCTCATGGATTTCTTTTTGGAAATTTCTGAACTAATTACTTCAGTCATAACCCCCAACGCTTCTCCCATCTTTCATTTTTATTTTTTTTAATTCCATACTTCTTATAGTATATTAAATTTGATTGGGAAAAAAAGTCAATAGTCTCTCTGTCATTAGGAGTGTGGCCTACGTCTGAACAGACAATTCTGGAAGTGCTGAACACTACTCTTTAGGACTGGGCAGCTGTTGATACCTTCTTAAAGTAGCTTTATAGCTGTGTTTGTAAGTCTAGGATAGGCATGCTACAATTAACAGGAGTCAACATGGGTTTGCTACAAATAAATCATGTGAGTCTAACTTCGTTTCCTTCTTTGATAGAGTTGCTAACTTTGTAGACGTAATGTACAGTGTCTTAGTGAGGTTAGACTTTGGCATGATATTTAATTTATAAAACAGTAAAATATGAGTTAAATATTAGCTGGGCCCACAGTTGATTAAATGAATTCTCGAAAGACTGGTCATTAAAATTTCTGCTTTGAAGGTAATATAAGTGAAGTACACTATCCTAGTCTCTGTGCTGCTCAACTATTTTTTTTTATTAATGACTTGGATGAGATTGTTTAGAAAACATTTACCAGATTTATAGATTATACCAAACTGGGAGGAGGAGGAGTTTAGATGAAACAAGACTCAAAAATCTTAAGCAGTTAGGCCAAATGGAATTAATTGACTGGAATGGAATTAATATAATGAAATTTACTGGGCAGGAAAATTAAAGTTCTAAATCTGGATAGGAAAAATGTATAGAATGATGAAGATCTTGCTTGGCAGTAATACGTGTAAAAAGGATCTAAGTGTTCTTGTTGATTACAAGTTAAATTCAGCCAGCCGTGGGGCACTGCTGCTAAAAGAACAAATGCTATTTTAGGATGCATTAACAAAATAGAGTCCAGATCATGGGAAGTAATTATTAACTCTACTCTTGCCCTGGTCAGATCCCATTTGGAATACTGTGTCTAGTTATGGGCATCACAGTTCAAAAAGGATGGTGATAAATGAGAACAAGTTCAAAGGACTTCCAAAATGGTGAAGTATATGGAAGTCAAGCTTTAAAGAGTCAACTCAGTAGAAAAGATGACTGAGAAAAGATATGATAGCAACTATCAAATGTCACATATAAACTGGAATGGAAATTTTTTCTGTTGACCCAGAAGACGGGATGAGAACTATTTTTTTTCCCAAAGATTTTATAGTAGCTCTATATTGTGATCAACTGAAGTAATTGTATAAAAGTGTATTTGTAGCTTTCTTCTAGGCAACAATAGAAATCATTTCTGTATTCATTTTATTTTTATTTTTAGCAGATTCTATTTCTAATACATTTTATTCAAATCAAGTTCTGCTGTAGATTTTCCTGGCTTCCAATGCAAAATGTTGGTGTTTTGTCTTTTCTTTTTATTGCTTCACTAAGGCATGCTGGCTGTTGTTTCTTGCATGTGTGGCCACTCTAGCTTATATTCAGACTCTCTGAAAAACCTTCTCACCTCTAACATATGTAAGTTATCTAATTACAATGTAGTAGATTTAGGTTCAGCATAAATATTCGTGTTTCCTGATATTTATTTTATGTTAGCACTTTTCTAACTGTTGTATGAACAAAAGATGGATTTTTATATTTACAAATATACATATTGTTATGCTTTTAGTGCAAGATACAGAATATGCATGGTTCCTCCATGTCTGCTTCATCTCTTTGTGCCAGTTACACTGATATATTTGATTTACAGCCAATAGTTGCCAAATCTCACCAGCACTATTTAGTTATTACAGGGGCTAGGCTTTGGAAAGAGGCTATGAGAAGCTGTTCTATCTGGTCTCTTTAAAAGTCAGTAAATAAGGTGCCTTTTCCAGATTCACTATTTGAATTTTCCTGCCATGTTACATAGTTCAGTGGTTACCAACCAGTGGTCCGTGATAAAATGTTGTTGGCCTGCAGAAAAATTATTTGCATTTTTATATTGCACTAAATACTATTTGTCTTTTTAAAAAAATCATATTAGTGGTCTGTGGAATTTAAAATTATGAGTTTAGATGCTTGAGGTCCAAAAGGTTGGCGACCCCTGACACAGTTCATAGTTCATGCCAGTTTGAAAGTTAACTGTCAGATGAAAAAGGGAAAATTTAATTGGTGTTTGCTGTTGCTTTCAGTAATGCTTTTCCCCCTCTTTTCATAGCAACGTCACTACAGGTAGTTCTCAACTTACAACAGTTCATTTAGTGACCACTTAAAGTTACAATGGCACTAAAAATGACTTATGTCCGTTTTCCACATTTACGGGCATTACAGCATCCCCATGGTCATATGATCAAAATTCAGATGCTTGGCAGCTGATTCATATTTAGGACAGTGGCAGTGTCCTGGGGTCATGTCATTCTAAAAGCAAAGTCAATAGGGAAACCAGATGTACTTAATAAACTATGTTACTAACTTAACAACTGCAGTGAATCACTGTACTTTGGCAAGAAAATTTGTAAAAGGGGGCAAACATCTCTTAACAACTGCCTCACTTAACAACAGAAATTTTGGGCTCAATTATGGTTATAAATCAAGGGCTACTTGTATATTGCCATTAGTTGAACAATGTTTTGTTTTTACAAATAAAGATGCAAATAATGCTGCAACTTTAAGCTAAATCCTAACTCTAACCTTATGAGTGAGGTATAGGAAGTCTGTAAAGTCCACCATTTGGTGGTTATAATTTCTCACCCTGCCATAATAGACTTCAAAGTATTTCTTCACAAGCTAGTATCTGTGCCACACATCTCGGTCACATGGTCGTTTTCTTTCATGATGGTCTCAAAATTGATTCTATTCCATTTGTAGTCTCTCAGATTGGCATGGTCAACAAGATTCTTCTCTTAAGCCTCATTAATTTTTTACCATCTCTTCCCATCCTCCTTGGTGAAATAAGGAGATGTCAATAAAGCAAGAACCCAGATTTCTCTGAAATCATCTAGAATTCACCAAAGGTTGCTTTTGCTCAAGAATGATTATTCTTCAAAGATTTCTTATTTGGGGAATAACTTCACAGGGCTTTCTTCATGAGGGAGGAATGATTGCATGTATTTGGGATAGTAGCTTTGAATTTGTCAAATATTTCATATTTTTCACAATAATTACAACAGGATGTATACTGGAATCCCTTTTAGTAAGATACTTCTGTACTGTTATGACTTCAAATGAAATAGGACACGTAAATACATTTTACCCATCATATTTTTTTTAATAAATTTTTATTTTTATTACACAGACAACACATACATTAAAAAAACAAAAACAAAAAAGCATCATCACATANCTTACTTATTTGAGCTTAATTGCAATGTTACCTGATACTGGAGAATAGAGTTAGCTATCATTTGAAAGAAGGAAACAAAGCATACTCTAAAATTCAACGTAGATTCTTAGAAAGAAGTAGTTCAAAATAGTATTTCCATCAGGTCTTGTTATTTTTAGAAGTAATTTTACAGGTAAGTAAAATATTATTTCTTAGACGTTTTGATATATAGAAAGGCAGCTGTCCTTTAAATTTTGTTTAAATACTCCTGAAGAAATAGAAAGACAAGTATCCTTGTATTTTCATATATATTTTTTTGCATGAATCATCTCAATTTAGATAGGATCGCAATTTCTAATGGTAAGTCATCCTAGAGAATGTAATGGAGTTTTTTCTTCCTTGTCACTAACATGAAAATCCTATTCTAACCTTTGAATATGCACTAATTCAATTTTATTAGCCAATTCTGTTACTCTTCATGGCTTCTATAAATTACATATATGAGATTTGCCCTGTGCAGATGTTCTGAGATGTTCTGTAAATGAGCTTTTTTAAAAGCAAGAAACTCATATAAATTAATCACTGTGCCCAGATTTTTTTTTAATTCCTCTTCTACAGGTAATAGAAAAATCATTCTGCTTTGAAATGAAGAGTGGCTTTTATAATTTACTATGCAATAAAACTTTCACTGATGTATTTTCAATCTTAATTTATTTTCTTTTTGATTTAGATTGACTACATATATAATTTACCATTGGAATTTAAAATATGCATTATATTGTCTGTCATTATGCACTATGAACTTTTTTGTTGAACATAGTCCTGTCAAATTTTATTTTTCTTTAGAGTATTAAGTAAATATGTCTCTTCTGCACTTGTTTAATAGATGGGCTTTGATTACCTTTCAGTAGGAAATGAATACTTTAGCCAAAATAATGAAACATAATTACGTGTGACTGATTGAAAATATAATGACATGGTGACATAGGAAATACAAAGTTGTCTGTGAAAATGAGGTCCTTTTACAAATTCTGTGGGCATCAAAGGAATGAAGGAGGTATAATTGGAGAGATGAACGTTATATAGAGATTCTTACCAGTACAAAAAATTTAAATAGGAAAATTATCCATACTCCGTGATCATATATATTTTAGACTATCATTGCATTTGATGCAGACTAGGACATTGTGTCCTTTATTTTTACAATCTGTTCCAATTCCTTGCCTGTATGTATTTTGTTTTGAACCTCTTTTCTTTATATTCCTTTCATTCTTGTCTTCACTCATGTAGGTTCTGGTTCCCCCAACAATTCTGGTGATGAACAAAAAATGAATAATTTTATAGAAAAGGGTATAGTATTTTTATTTCTAAGAGTACAGTATTATCATTGATTTCACTAGCTTATATTTTTAGTAAATTGACATTTTCTATCAAAATATTATTTGCAGTGAAAACCAAAAGCAGAAAGTTTTCCAAGATGATAGCCAGTGATATAGGTAGGAACTAGAAAAAAATATCCTTTGCTCCTTCCTGGCACTTTATTCTATGCAGCGCTTAATTCAGTTGTAAAACAAAGCAAGCTGCAGTGCATTACTATTAAATTAATACTCTCCTAACCATTTATTTGCTTAATTTCTAAAATACTTTGCTTTGTCATTTAATCAAGGAGATGGGCTCTTAATTTTTTTCTAATTTTATGCTCACATTCCTCTACCAAAAAATGGCTTCTGGTTTAAAATATTGAAGAAGTTCAATCGTGTAAGCATTACTGCATAAATCATTTGTAACTAGGTCCTCTTGAATAGATCTAATTACCTTGAAATGAATCATTATAGATCCCTTTTCTATTTTAAGAATAAAAGTATGACACATTTTTATCTCTGGATTACTACTAACCAAACTAATATAATTGACAATAAATTGAAAATTGTAACATTTGCAGTACATGTGAATGATGATTGAACCCTTCTGTTGTAAGGATGTAACTATGGTGAATGATGAATTAACAAACAGGGGAGATAGGCATACTTTCTTGCTTGGATATGGTTATTTTGCTTTTTAACTTTTATTTTAAAATATAAAGATATTGGTTTTCTCTTTAAATTAAAGCTTTAATTCTTTCTCCATTTATCTGAGAGTATGTACTTTGATTGAGTGGTGCTCGGTTGACATTAATATTACATTATTGTTCTATACAGGATTTTCTTATTTCTTATATTTCAGTTTCTGTCATTTTTACTTTTATTATTTTAGTAATTATCTAAGAAGATTATTTAT